CTGGAACCATCCCAGGGGAGGTTGGTTTGGGCTCTGAGCACCCTGCTCTAGCTGCAGATGTCCCTGCTCCCTGCAGAGGGGTTGGACTGGATGAGCTTTAAAGATCCCTTCCCACCCAAACCAGTCCATGATTCTGTGCAGGGCTGGGGCTCTGTGAGGGCTCTTCACAGGGCTCCTTTGCTCCATGTCCCCATCACAGCTTTTTTTTGGTCCTTGTGTCTGGTTGCTGGGGCCAACATGGGGCCATTACAGCTCTCTCATCATGCCAGTACAGGGGCTTTCTTTTGAAATAGCCTAACAGTTTATTTTTATATAAATCACTGGTCAGATGGAGTGGGCATCAGGAGGTTTTTTTTCCTCTAGCAGATCTTTGTCCTGCTGCCAGTACACTCGTGTTTCTCTCCAAACATCATTATGGATGACTTAAAAAAACCCAACAACAACAAAAAAACCCCCACGTTTTTCCTCAGTGGGAAGCTCTCTTTGAGCCAAACACGTCTCAGATCTCCATGTACTTAGCAAACCAGAATACTCTTTAAAAAATAAAACCATTCAGAATATTAAAAACAAAAGAAATGGCATAAATATAAAACCTTTCCCTGGAAGACATCACTTGGCCAGCCACAGGCGAGGACATTGTCATCTGTGATTGAGGATGAGGAACCCAAAAGGCTGGAGGTGAGTGCCCATGGGCTCCCCTGCCTGTCTCTCCCCCCCCTTTCCCACCCCACTTGCACAACTCCTCCTGTCCTGCAGACCTCAGCTCCTGGCCTCTCTTCAGTCCAAAGCCAAGGTGGAGGCAAGGGACTAAGGCTTCTCTTTTCATTGCAGCTTCCAAGTGTTTCTGCTGCCCACTTTCACCTGTTTTTCCTTTTAACTGGCTCACCCCAGCAGCCTCCATCCCTTGGGAACTCATCATCTCCCCCCCAGGTCTCTCCTGTACCACTTGTCTTTGACTCTTCCTCTCCCAGGTGGGTTCTAGCACGATGCTTCCAGCTACCTGAGGTGGGGAAATACTTTACAGACCCCCTCCCCTGGGGAATGTCAGCTCAGTCCTTTGGGACCCACTTTCTGCCTCCACTGGTGGTTGGGGAGGTCCAAGAGCAGTTGAGAAAACAGGGAAAAAAACATTGATAAAAGAGCAGAACAAGTGTATGATCTTTTTGTCTCCTGAGACTGGAACAAATCATTGCTCCATGCTTCTCAGTCCACCCCAGCTCCATATCCCTTCTCTGGTTATCTTGTGCTCATCTTCAAGCTCCCACAGGGCTTCCAAAAAATTCCTTCTCCCCTTTTTTTCTATTTGACTGAAAAGGTACCAATCACAGACACGATGTCCTGCGGAGTATCCAGGGGCCACCTCTGCACTGGCCTCACCTTCTCCCACCCCTCCTTGCCCCAGAGCCCCGTGGAAGATGTCAGCCCCTCCCTGCTACATCTTGGTGAGGCGCAGGACGTTGAGGCGCACGGGCAGGAAGGTGGCACCCGAGGCGTACTGGATCTCCCGGAGGACCCCTTCCCACTTCTTCTGCTCCTCATCGTACCTGGGGAGAGACAGACAGGCCCTTGAGGTGTCTCCTCCCCCTCACTTCATCCTCTTTCCAGAGCAGGGCAAGCTCTGGTGGGTGGTGTGATGTCCCCCCCGGGGGGTTATTTGGCCATCTGTGGTGGCTCTGGGAGGACTTGCAGCCCTGGTGTGCTCTGGTTTGCAGGACCTGTCTAGGGGAGGTGGGCATCACCACGTGGTGTCCCAGAGGAAGGGATGTTTTTCTGTTGGGAAACAACAAGTGGGTGGCACCAAGGCTGAGCATCCATGGTGAAGGCCAGCAGGGGCCTGCTGAGGGTGCTCTAGAGCCACAGATGTGGGACAGGAGGCAGCTAAGGCTGTATCAGCAGCCATCAGAGTGTCCCTTCTCCCACCTAAGACTGTCTCATCTCCAGCTTGAGCTCTGGTTTTTCCCAGGGAGAGGATGTGTGGCACAAATGCTGCTTCACACTGAAGGAGAGGTCTGGAACCAGCTCCAGGCAAGATGTCAACACAAACAACGAGGCTAAAGGAGCATCACCCTTCCAACCCTGACAGATTCTGATCTGTTTGAGCAGAGGACTTTAGAGCCCTAATGGCTCAATGGTTGGACTTGATCTTGGAGGTCCCTTCCAACCTAAAGGATTCTATGATTCTGTGATTCCTTGATGTCCCTGGTACATCACTGCATGAGGCTGGGGGAGACCCTGGGACCACCTCCTATGCCCTCCAGCTCAGCACAGGGCAAACTTCTCACCCTGGGGCAGCAACATCCACCACCACTGACGGCGTGAGGAAGAAGGAAACGACCCGTTGCCCCAGTGGCTGGCACTGACAAAAAAGAACCCCCCCGTTCCCCCCAGGGCCTGCCACTGACCCCCCTCCCCTGCTCCCTGGGGGAGATTGTCACCTCCAAACGTCGTTCAGCTCCGTTGGCACCAGCTCTCCTGACTCTGTCTCCACGGTGGCAAAGCCTCCAAGCAGGTAGAGCACCCCTGCCAAGCTCACCAGGCTGGCTGAGCTGCGCTCCTGAGGGAACTCAGGGAAGGTGTCCCACCTGCCAGGTGAGAAGAGGACACGTTAGGCCACCCCCGTGCTGAAGCCAACCTCCACTCAGGAATCAACAGCTGCATGGACTCGTGGCACCTTCCCTTGTGTAGGTCTGCCTGGGGTGGGATCATGTCTTAGAGGTGTCTGCTTCCATCGTTGGTATTCAACCTCATTTTGCAGTGAGGAGATGAGGTGAAGCACTCATGGCATGGACCAGCAGATCCCAGAGGTGGGACAGCAGCTGCATGGACCAGCAGATCCCAGAGGGGGGACAGCAGCTGCATGGACCAGCAGATCCCAGAGGTGGGACAGCAGCTGCAAGTCCCACCCAAAGGCAGAGAGTCTGTTGTGTTGGGTGAAGCTGCCAAGACGTAGCTACGGCCCTGGAGGGAACCCAAGGCCTGCACCAGTTGGTTGAAGGGGAGCCTGAGATGTTCCACAACCCAGCTGCAGGGGCACTGGTGCTGCCCAGCTGCCTGAGGAACACACACTGGGAGGAACTGGTGTCTAGAGGTGCGAGGAAAGCCCGGAAGGCTTGGAAGTTGCTTCATGTCCACCTGCAGCTGCCCCTTGTGTAGCTACACCCCCAAAAATGTGCTCAGGTACGTACTGGTTGGTGGCAATGTCATAGACTTCCATGGAGTTGGTCAAGCCACTGTCAGTCACACCAGCTGCCACGTAGATTTTGTCCTTGTGCACGGTGGCTCCGAACAAGGAGCGGGCAGTTTTCATGGGAGCCAGCTCCTTCCACTCAAACTTGGCTGGGTGGTAGACACACATCTTCTTCAGGCACTTCCTAGAGGAAGGGGAGAGAGAAGAGGAGCCCCGAGCACCTGCCAAGGGGCAGCTCTGCACCACGGGAGCCTGGGGGTGGCTGCTGGGGGTAACGTGGGGTGCCTGGAAAGGATTTGGCTCCTGCACATCAGCACGAGGGCCTTTGCTTGGGTGTGCACCCAAGGATGCCCAGGCCTGAAGATACCATTTCAGAGAATCACAGAATGGGTTGGGTTGGAAGGGAGCTTAAAGATCATCCAGTTCCAGCCCCCTGCCATGGGCAGGACACCTCCCACTAGAGCAGGTTGCTCCAAGCCCCATCCAACCTGGCCTTGAACACCTCCAGGGATGGAGCATCCACAGCTTCCCTGGGCAACCTGTGCCAGGGTCTCACCACCCTCACAGTGAAGAACTTCTTCCTAATTTCTAATCTAACTCTACCCTCTTTTAGAATCAGAGAATCTTTGAGTTTCAAACCATCCCCCTTGTCCTGTCACAACAGCCCCTGCTAAAAAGATTGTCCCCAGCTTTCTGATGGGCCTCCTAGTACTTCCAAGTACAGGAAGGCTGCAATAAGGTCTCCCCAGAGCCTTCTCCTCTCAGGCTGCCCAACCCCAACTCTCCCAGCCTGGCCTCCCAGCAGGGGGGTTCCAGCCCTCAGAGCATTTTTGTGGCCTCCTCTGGACCCACTCCAACAGGTCCACATCTTTCTTGTGCTGAGGGCTCCTGAGCTGACTTTGCTCATTTTGTGTGTGTAACATATCCCCTCCTGCTGGGCTCGCTTTGGACAGGAGTCCTAAAAGCTCCACACCATGCTCACACAGCTGGACACGGGTCCACACAGCCAGATACCTCTTGGGACCTCAAACACCATCTGATGGCTCCTGATTCAGCTTGATCTGGAGCCCCCAGGACAAGAGGGACGTGGAGCTGCTGGAGCGTGTCCAGAGAAGAGCCACGAGAATGATCCGAGGGCTGGAGCAGCTCTGCTGTGAGGACAGACTGAGAGAGTTGGGGCTGTTCAGTCTGGAGAAGAGAAGGCTCTGAGGTGACCTTATTGTGGCCTTCCAGTATCTTAGGGGGGCTACAGGAAAGCTGGGGAGGGACTTTTTAGGCTGTCGAGTAACAACAGAACTAGAGGGAATGGGGCAAAGCTGGCAGTGGGCAGATTCAGGCTGGATGTGAGGAAGAAGTTCTTCCCCAGGAGAGTGGTGAGACCCTGGCATGGGTTGCCCAGGGAGGGGGTTGAGGCCCCATCCCTGGGGGTCTTTAAGGCCAGGCTGGAGGAGGCTCTGGGCAGCCTGATCTAGTGGGAGGTGTCCCTGCTCATGGCAGAGGGGTTGGAACTGGGGGATCCTTGTGGTCCCTTCCAACCCTGACAGATTCTGATCTGTTTTGGCAGAGGACTTTGGAGCCCTGGTGGCTCCATGGTTGGACTTGATGATCTTGGAGGTCCCTTCCAACCTAAAGGATTCTATGATTCCTTGATACCATGAAATAACATCAGCAACATCCCCGTTGCCCAGGACAGCAATGTGAGGTGGGTCAACATATGCTTGCTCTCACTTCCCAGACCATGATCCTCCCAGAGCAGAACCTATCTGTAGGACTCCTAAGGGCTTGGAAAGGGCTCGAGTCACAGAGGTGACCTGAGAGGGAAGGATCCACACTTCACACCTCATCCAACCCTACTTGCAGCATGAGGCTGGGGAGGTACCAGCTTATTCTCCTCACTCCTACTGGTTCAGGGGGATGACTCCCCCAATTTCTCTTGGTTTTTGACTTACTTGTCACTTCCTTTGCCACCCATGACGTAGACCAGGTCCTTGTGTGACACCACTGCATGGCCATAGACAGCATAGGGAAGGGGATCAGCTTCACCCCACTTGAAGGACCTGGATCAGAGAAAGATGGGAAGCCAAAGGGTTTGTAGCTGGTGGGATAAGTCCTAGAGCACATGGTACTTTCCAGACCTAGAGGTGAGCACAGATCCTGACTCAACCTCAAAAACATGAGGTGTTCAATGAGACAGGGCTCGCCCAGTAAATTTTGTGATCCTAAAAAAAAAGAGTAAAATAATAGATGCAGAATATTTCAGCTAATATTCATTATTTCCTGCAGCATCCCCTCCTCCTGGGCTTTGTGGATGCACATCCCCACTTCTCCCAGGACCTCACCTCACCCACAGGCTGACCTCAAATGACACAGAGTCCTGCATGGTGGAAAACCACTGAAGCCAACGAGACTTGGGGTGCAAGATCCTGAGGACAGATTCATTTTTTGGCCACCACCTTCCACTTTGAGGTGCTTTGGTTGGCCAACACTCAGCAAGGACTCATAGGAGTGGGGATGTCCACGTTTTGCAGGGCAGGGCTGTGTTGAAGCCTCTGAGCTAGCTCTGGGGCAGCTGAGGAAAGGATGTAGCTATAAGGCTTTAGAAACCCCAAACTGGCACCCAAATTGGGCTGACCAGTTTCTGAAGAGGTGTCTGTTCATGTAGCTTAGATTCAGCCCCAGTTTTCATACACGTGGGATGTAGTGGTGGTTTAGTGGTGGGCTTGGCAGTGCTGGAGCAACAGTTGGAGCCAAAGATCTTAAAGGTCTTTTCCAACCTAAATGATTTTCTGTCATCCCCAAAACCTGCACTTTATTTTCCCTAAGAAGTGAGTTTCCTGGGCTCTGGGTGTTTTCTGATTGCTCAACAACTCTGGGCAAATATTGGGATCCTCCAGACCAGCATTTTGCCTTCTCTGGAATTCTTTTAACTGAAACCTTGACCTAACTAATCCTAGAGGTACAAGGGGTGCTGATCTCACCTCTACCAGCTGGTAGGTCTCACACGAGCATCCACTCAGTAGATGTTTGATGTCTTAGTAGAGGTCTACTTAGAGTGGCCTCCACTGACATAATATCCCCACTGCAGCTTCCATCTCCAGAAGGTTCCACCTCAATAAATGAAGCAGCTGGAGAGAGACAGGTCAGGTCCCTAGGGTACAGCTGGAGACACTCCCAATGGTCCCAGCCTCTGGATGCAGAGTTCAAGCCCTGTCTCCTAAACCTTTTATCCCCTGAAGACTCCTTTTGCAGAGCAGCTGCTTCTCCTTCCCCTGTAGACCACCTCCCACCCCAGACCTGCAGGTGGACACTCACAGCCGGTCGTAGCACAGGACTGAATCCAAGGTCTTCTCTCCCTCTTTCAGTTCTTTCCCTCCGACCACAAAAATGGAGTTCTCTGCTTCTCCCAGGCCAAAGAGGCAACGAGGGGAGGGCAGGGGGGGCATCCCCAGCCAGTCTGCATCCAGGTGGTCATACTGGAAGGGAACACATGGTCATTAGGGGGTGCTCAGCCCGGTGGTTTCCACCCATCCTTTACCACCTGGGCCAGGATGGGAGATCTTCCTGCAAACCCAAGTCATGTATCACATCACAGGCGTTTTATCACAGGGCATGAGAACAGAGATGCTGCAGTAGGAACATGTTCTACTCTATGCACCAAAGTCTTGACTTGGGACAAGCTTGGTCGTCTTTGAGTGAGAGAGTCTCATGTTGGACCTCTCATGGATGGCTCTGGGGCTGGAGGAGCTGAAGCACTTCAATCTTATCCATTTTGCTTCAGATGTAGCAGCCACCACAGTGTTTCATCCTGGTGTTTTCCATCTCTGCCAGGTAACTGTGGTGTTGGCAGTGCTGGCTGCACAGCTCACTGCCCTGAGCTCCTTCTTTTCCCACTGTTCTTCTTCTTTCTGATAAATGATCAGTTACCAAGTTCCTCCTCTGCTTCTCAAGATTCTGGTGTTGTCCTGTAGCACCTCAACGTGTGTGAGATGAAGTGTGTGTCTCTACCTGTACAAAAGCTGTTTGCACAACACCCATCTCCCCAGTACAGCACAACACAACTGAGGTGGTGCTGCCAGGACCAGAGCTCTCCTTGCTGACCAAAGTGGGCCAGACCCATCAGATAGATGAGGAAGCTGGGCCAAGCAGCACTGCTACATCAGTCGGCCAAATCCTTGCAGAACCTTGGACATCAAGGCATTGCTTCATCATAGAATCACAGAATGGCTGGAAGGGACCTCCAAAGGGCATCTAGTCCAAACCCCTGCCATAAGCAGGGACATTTCCACCTCCAAAGGGCATCTAGCCCACCCCCCTGCCATAAGCAGGGACATTTCCAACTAGATCAAGCTGCTCAGAGCCTCATCCAGCCTGATCTTGAATGGATGGGGCCTCCACCACCTCTCTGGGCAACCTGTTCCAGTGTCTGTCACCCTCATACTGAAGAACTTTTTCCTAATGTCTAACCTCAATCTGCCCTTCTCTAGCTTAAAGCCATTAAAGCTCATCTCTCACTAGAAAAAAGATGTGGAAGGTTGTGAGGCTGGGGGCTCTCTGGGTACCATGGCTTGATTGGAAATGTAAACTGGAGCAAAAATATGTAGTGCAGCTTGGTAGAAGAGGATGGAGGGACTGTGCCCAGTTTGGGGCTCCCTGGTTCAAGAGAGACAGGGAACTACTGGAGAGAGTCCAGTGGGGGCTCCAGAGCTGCTGAGGGGCTGGAGCATCTCTGTGCCAGGCCAGGCTGAGAGCCCTGGGGCTGCTGAGCTGGAGAGGAGAAGCCTCAGAGGGGATCTGAGCAGTGCTGAGCAAGAGCTCAAGGGCCCCGGGGGGCAAGAGGCTGGGGCCAGACTCTGCTCAGTGGTGCCCAGGGACAGGCCAAGGGGCAACGGGCACCAACTGGAACCCAGGAGGTGCCACCTGAGCAGGAGGAGAAACTTCTTTGCTTCAAGGGTAAAATGCTGGGACTCTGTGACATTTTGCAGTCATCTTGGTGGGTCCCTGCAAGGCCCAGCAGTGATGTAGCACTGCCTGGAGCTCTCTTTGCTCGGGGCTCGAGCCAAAGAGCTTCAGCTTGCTGGGTTGCCTCCAAAGACTTGGCCTCAGCTGGGTGCCTGTGGTTATTGTCTCTTCGTAAGCTGTGGGCCACATATGTGTTATTTATAGTGAAAGCCTGAGCAGCTCAGTCATCAGGATGGTTCTTGATGGTTTCAGCATTGTTTTCAAGTCCTAAATCTCAGGAGTGCCAAAGACAGGAAACCCTTTTCCCTCTGAAAGGTCAACGGAATGATTTCTTCCTGACAAAATTTGCAAAGTCTCTGAGATTTATCAGCATATTTAATTTTGGAGCCTGTGTTGAAGTCTAAACTATCCCTGACCTAACTCTCCTGGCTTCAG